TTCTCGTTATTCTGTCTTTTCACAGATAAACTCTGAAGTTTTTACAGACCCAGTGATGCTGAAATTTGAACGAAATCATAATGAAATCCCCATTGTTCATGTTCCAATAATATTTACCTGACTTACAGGTTCAACTCCAAGTTATTTACGAGATTTAAACCCCAGTGAGCATCTGTGTGACACACACACACAAACATATATATTATTGACGATTACGCATAGCATGATACAGCCTGTTGCCTCTGAGTGTTGACATCAATGTTCACTTTTGTATTTCCACATGCTCTATCTCTGCTATTGAGCACTTTATCCCATAAATATACCATACCTTAAGAGTATATTTCTTCATATATGCTCATGAAAAATTTTTCAGTTGAGAACTCTGGGGAGGAAAAGTGAGTTTGTAAACAGTGACTATTACTGCTAATAATGCAAGACACTTGGGTAAAGTGAATAGAGTTCTCTCAGTCACTGTGTGTTTATCTAAAAATAAATATGCTTAAATTCACCTCTATCCTTACCATATGCCAATGGCTTAAGGGTAGAATCTCCGACTGATGCCAATTCAGCCAGGTTTCGATCCTAGCTAGAGGCAACGGGACATCTAGTCACACTGATGAGCTATGATACAGCAAATCAGCCTGCCTGTGGATGACAATATAAGAATATATATATATATACAAGTCATATGAATGTTATATATATATATATATATATACACAAGTCATATGAATGTTATATATATATATATATATATATATATACACAAGTCATATGAATGTTATATATATATATATATATATACAAGTCATATGTATGTTATATGTATATATATATATACAAGTCATATGTATTATATATATATATATATATATACAAGTCATATATATATTATATATATATATATATATATATACAAGTCATATGTATGTTATACACACAAGTCATATGCATGTTTTTTATATATATATATATACACACAAGTCATATGCATGTTTTTATATATATATATATATATACACACAAGTCATATGCATGTTTTTATATATATATATATTCACAAGTCATATGCATGTTTTTATATATATATATATATATACACACACACAAGTCATATGTATGTTTTTATATATATATATATATATATATATATATATATATATATATATATATATATATATATATATATATATATATATATATATATATACAAGTGTATGTATATATATATATATGTGTGTGTGTGTAATGAATGCACAGCCGCAATTTTCAACAGATTTTGCACCAAAAAATTTACATGCACATGCTCCAAGTTAGCAGGAAGGACAAGACTGACTTTGCATTTTCCAGCTCCCATCGATAGTGGAAATAATCGATTTTTTCATCTAGTTTGCGGCCATTTTGTACTGGCCAGAGTGAGAGCCTATAGCTGGCTGCCACAAATAGGCAGGAAGATTCTATTGGCCAGCATGAGAGCCAACAGCTGACTGACACGAAGGTTAACTAGCATCCTAGCATGCAAAAAAAATCGATAGCTGCATTCGTCACAAGTGGCAAAAAATTTAAATCTGCATGGCCCTTTACTCCGATTGGCTCATTCTCTTGCTTAAACTCAACGTTGATTCTGATTCCGCAGAACTGGGTTGGGTGTGAAAAAGTATTTGTTGTTAACATTCTTTTTTTTATTCGGCTTTTCCAGTTATGAGTCCTTTTTTAAAGCTGATTGTTTTGTGTTCATTTTGTTTAGTTCTTTTTTCATAACAGATTTAATGTTTAGTATAGAGCTTAGAAAAAATTCGGAGTGTGAGATAGGCAAGAAGTAAGGCATGTAGCAACATTAGCACGGCAAAGGGCACTCCTTTAAAGGCAAGGAAGGGCAAAAATATTTTAAGTGATAACGATTGCTGTATGAGTCGTACGATTTTTCAATCAAGCACGGGCAACGCCGGGCCATGTTGCTAGTTATATATATATCGTATATATATATATACACAATTCATATGCATGTTATATATATATCTCATATATATATATATATATATATATATATATATATATATACACAAGTCATATGCATGTTATATATATATATCTCGTATATATATATATATATATATATATATATATATATATATATATATATATATATTGTATATATAATTATTTATTTAAAAATTATAACATAATGTTTCTTGTCCCGTCACTTTTTTGTGTGTGTATATATCTAAATATGTCTGGGTGCTTACATATTATAATCTGAGTGTGTTTGTGTTGTTTTACGCGAAAGGTTAGCATCCCACTCACACACTTGAGATTTAAAATGTATACATTATGTCGGGAAGACCAGCTGATATTAGCGTCTTTTCTAACGTAATTTCAATCAAGAAGTAAATTGAATAACATATGTATTTTTTCTTTTCTCCTCAGTAATTTTATAATTTTAAACTTAATAGAGATTAAATTTAGATTTTAAAATTGGTAATTTTTTTACTTTTAATATAAAATTTGATCATATAATTTAATACTTATTCGTTAGAATAAATTCTATTTTAGTATAACCCCAACTTTAAAGCTCTTAATAGCTATTATAACCTTATTTCGTTGTCAAGTTTTTTGAATTCTCCTATACTTGTGTTTTGATTGGTCATTCTAGCTTTTATAACAGCGTTTTCCCCTTGCAAAGGATCGTTAATTAATTTGAAACTTTTAAAACCATTTGTTTTGCATTCAACATCATCACTTGATAAGACACCGGGTGTGTTGAAACAAAATGACTATTTTTGTAGTGATTTTATAACATATTTATGTTATCATTTTTAAATAAATAATTATATCTCCTCTACTCTGTATTGAGCACTGTTTTAATAATAGTAATTGTTGGTTATTGGAATTTATTCCGTATACACCAATGATATACTTGTATATCGTATATATATATATATATATACAGGCCATATGTATGTTAAATATATATATATAGGTCATATGTATTATATATATATATATATATATTGTATATATATATATATATACAAGTCATATGTATGTTATATACATATATCGTATATATATACAGAAGTCATATGTATGTTATATACATATATCTCGTATATATACACAAGTCATATGTGTATATATATATATATATATATATATCGTATATATATATACACAAGTCATATGTATGTTATATATATATATATATATTTATATATATCTCGTATATATATATATATATAGACAAGTCATATGTATGTTATATATATATATATATATTTATATATATATCGTATATATATATATACACAAGACATATGTATGTTATATATATATATATATATATATATATATATTATAATTCATTGAGTCTAGAAGAATCCTCAATAAAATGCAGAAAGCACTGGACGGCCTTTTTTTTTTATATATATTATATATTTGTTATACATACATATATATATATATATATATATATATATATATGTATATGTTTGTTTATATAGATAGATAGATAGACACATATATATAGAGAGAGAAATAACATATATATATATATATAGAGAGAGAGAGAGAGAGATTATATATATATGTGCTATACATAGGGGATGAGGTTATAGTTGTTCCAACGAGAGAAAAATGCATATATTAAAAAGAAGAGAGAAACCTCAAACGATTTTGGTTGTAATGTGGATTTTAAAAAAAAAATACATTATACTTTATTTTCCGTAATTTTTTTACACGAGTTTCCGGTCTCGTGACCTTCATCAGGCAAAGAGTAGATATTTCCACATATTATTTGTAACGAGCATACGCGGAAACTTCCTCGAACTGCGTGTGTGTGTTGTCGCCGGGCACACCTTGGAGTACCATAATGAATTCGACCGAGGACTACAAGATGAAGACGCGCGAGTCGTTTGGCGTCTTTTCTTGGGCGACAAAAGCCGTTGCGGTCGGTCGTCCGTCTGCAGCAGTTGGGTGCCGTTTTGCTCGTTTTCTGTCGTAAAGTGTTCGTTCGCAAGAATGCGTTCGTTTTTGTGTCGCATTCGTTTCAGGTTCGCAAGAAGGCGTTTGTTTTTGTGTCGCAAGTAGGTGTTCGTTTTTGTGTCGCAAGAAGTTGTCCCCCCCCCCCGTTTTCTCGCACAAGCTATTTCAGCATTATGGCCTTCGACCCGAAGCTGATACCACTGTTCGACGGAAGCGATTCTGGACAGTCGGTAGTGGAATGGTTGGAGAAGGCGGAACTAATATGTCAGTTGAGCGGTGTGAAGCGAGTTGAGTGTGTTATCCCGATGCGTTTGGCAGGTGGTGCATATGCTGTTTACCAGCAATTGAGTGAGGAGAAGCGCGCAGACTTCAATTGCGTTAAGAAACCGTTATACACAGCTTTCGCCTTAGATCCCTTCTCCGCGTGGAAGCAGTTTGCAGCACGTCGCTTTCAGCCAGGGGAGACGGTCGACGTCTTTTTGGCAGAACTGCGCAGACTCGCTGTTCTGTTTGGTGGCGTATCAGAAAAGTGTTTGCAGGGTACATTCGTTGCTGGATTGCCTGAGCATGCATCCCAGATAGAAGACCTGGATTTGTCACATGTGTTAGCACGAGCTCGTGCTATTTTGAAGAAGTACACTGGTCCTACGTAGTAGGCCTCAGTGGCTGCACAGTTGAAGTGTGACGTCACCCCGGCCTCTCTCCGCGCCCGCCACCATGCTATCCTGTGACGACCAGTGTGACTTGGTATTGGTCGCGGCACCAAATGTGACGTTCTAACCCTTTGCTGATTCGGATGGGAATCTGGTTAGATTCGGTATCAGCTTTGTCGTTCCCAGCTCGCCTCCAGCGTCTGGTTACCGAAGTAACTGCTTTGATTTCTAGTCTAACCTACCCACGTTGTGATTTGATCTTAGGTAGACGAAATCAATCAATCGCCGGGCCGCAATGCAAGCTGAGTCCGAGCAAAGGTAACACCACACAAGTATATGTAAAAGAAAATAAAGTAACAACTCGAAAAGTTCAAATGTGTTAAAAAAAGAATAACAAATATTTTTATATCTGGTTGCTGAATACAGGACTGCGTCTTTCTCCCAAACCGCTAATATGGATTCGTGACACTTTGTGTTTGTTAGGCGGGTCTTAACATCTAAAGTTGTTTTTTTTAAGAAACTGTTTTTTTTTTGTATCTTCAGGCGATATTCGTGAAACTTGTTTTGGTGGTGTGAGTCTAAGTCGTTCTTCAAAAATAAATTGTTTTTGGTTAGAAGTTGAAGTCGGGATGCGTGGATCTTCAGTCAGCTTCCTGCGAGGCTGGTCTCAGAGCTCAACAGCTTCAACTGCAACTAACTTCTCTCTCTGACTTCAATTCCAACTGCTTTCTAACTCGCTGCGACTCTGCTTATATGGACGCCGACTAAAACCGGGTGTGGGCTTGTCGTGGTTTGGGGTTCCTCTATAATTCTAAATCCACAACAAGGATTTTCTTTGTTTTCGGACAGGAAAATTTATCACTTTCCATTTTTGGAAGTCCATTACTTTTTGCTTTAGAGGGGTTCTTAAGGGTATCGTCCTCCCAAATTCTTCCTTTCTCATATTAGTATCTCACACCAATCCTCTCAGAGGGCGTCAACAGGTTCCCCTTCTCTTTCACAGTGGTATCTCACATCAATCCCATCAGAGGCGTCAACAGGCCTTCCTCTCTCTTACAGAGGTATCTCACACCAATCCCCTCAGAGACGTCAACAGACCTCCCCTCCTTCTTATATGTTTACCTTCGCCCACCGCTCACGCCACCGCTCAGCCAATGATGTTCGGCAGCGCGGGTGTTTACAATTATCGCTCAAAGGAAAAAAAATTATCTTCTTTTTTTCTTTTCTTTCTCTTCCCGACAACAAACCCCTACGACTCGTAGTGTGGTCCTTAATCTCTATCTTAACCGAATGTCACCTGGACTTTATCAATCGAGATTTCCGCCAGCGTCAAGTGGGTGGTTAATTGGACGTATTCGCATTCTGTCGCCAATTATCTATACTGGTATCAAACTTTTATGATGTTCAGGTCTGGACAATAAAACAGGTGTTTTTCCCAAAACCAAATGCTATCTCCGAAGGATAGTTAATGGTTTATTCTTTTCCTTTCTCTTTTCCCTTCCTTTCTTTTTTTCTTTGGCAGTGGTCTTCAGCTGATGTCTTTCTCGGTCAGTGCGTGACCTGATTACCATTATCTCTTAGCATTCTGTTTTGTAGGCCACTTGACCAATTTGAAATTTTCATTATTGCCATGGGCAGATGGCTATCTTTTATTCGCCGCCTCGTAACATACATTAATTCGACAGATCCGAGATCTTACGAATTTCCTATCTTCTGCGAGAGAAAAAATACTTTTTCTTTTCGCAAAGGAAAATAAAATCTTTACCACTTTTCTTTGTTAAAAAAAATAACATCGCTCAGTATGTCTTTTCGTGATAGCTTCTTATCGCCTTAATTATTTCAGCTTCTTCTCGCTTTAATTATTTCTCGCTTTTAATTTTCACGCGACCGCTAAATAGTGTCACAGAAGGAAACAGATGTGCACACGATGTGCTATAAATGTGATGGACCCAATCATAGGGCGAGCGATTGTCTCCTGGGTCGTGAACCATCCAAAGGTGCTGGTACCAAGCACCGACGGACCATCACTTGCTATCGATGTCATCGGCAAGGGCACATTGTTCGGTGTTGTCCGGGAAACGGGCAAGGGGCGAGAATTCAGCGCCAATCTCTTCCCCAAAACCCTTGTAAATGGCGCATTGCCTGTAGTGACAGTTCGTATCAATGGAATACCACGTATAGCTCTGGTGGATACAGGACGCACACAGTCACTAGTCCGCAAGTCATGCTGTTGTGCATGGACAAGAAAATCAACACGCGTACTTACAGTAGACGGAGGCGCACTTGACTGCTGTGGAATCGGAGTGGTACAAGTTAGCGTTGGTGCAAAGCCGTCCATCGCTATGGAAGCCCTAGTCGTGAACGGAGACCTGCTTGGATTTGACTTCCTGCTCGGACTAGACGCCATCAAACAGTTGGGAGGAATATCTGTAACTGGCACCAGTGAGGTGAAGTTTCCGCAGTGTGTCGAACCAGTCGTTGCTGCTATCACCATTACCGAGCCCGACTTTAAAGTAGAATTCGATGAGACCACTCGGAGGTGGACTGCAACTTGGAAATGGGCTGGCAACCAACCTCCGGGTACGTTAAGAAATAGACTGGCAGAATATCCAGCTCCCGCACAAATTCGGGATGAGTATGATCGGGAACTCCAGATTTGGATAGATAACGGCTGGCTGCTTCCTTACCCAGAGGAGGAACTCGGACCCCCAAAGGGTTTAATCCCCCTCATGGCCATTCTGCAGGAAAACAAATAGAAGTTTCGGCCCGTTATGGACTATCGGGAACTCAATGAGTACGTTGACGCGTACGCGGCCAACACAGATGTTTGTTCGCAAAAATTACGGGAATGGCGTCAGCAAGGATCAAATGCTTCAGTGCTGGACCTACGCCGAGCCTATCTGCAGGTACACATCGACAAGTCCCTTTGGCCATTCCAAACAGTGGAGATTAAGGGACAAAGGTATTGTCTAACCCGCTTAGGATTTGGGCTCAATGTTGCCCCTTTAATCATGCGGGCCATTGTTAATACCGTCTTGAGCCAAGACGAGATCGTCAACGCAGCCTCCTCCTCTTATATTGACGACGTTTTTGTTAATGAGAGTGTGTGTTCTGTGGTCCGCGTCAAGAAACATTTGGAGCAGTTTGGTCTGTCAAGTAAGACCCTGGAGTGGCTAAGAATTGGCACACGCGTGTTGGGATTGCATGTCTGGGAGGAACAAGGAAAACTGCGATGGCGTCGTGGATGTGAACTTCCGGTAGTCTCCGATAAACTTACCCGCCGAATTGTCTTCTCGCTGTGCGGAAAGCGACTGGTCATTTTCCTGTATGCGGTTGGTTACGTGTCGCCACGGCATTTGTGAAGCGGAGGGCAAACACTGTTACCACTGGATGGGACGATGAAGTGCAGGACCCTTTTCTAGCCCAGATGATCGACGACATTTTTAAGAGACTAGCCCAGGACGATCCAGTGAAAGGTGACTGGTGCATCAGTGAGCAAAATGTAACCGTGTGAGTAGATGCAAGCTCCTTAGCCACCGGTGTGGTTGTGGAGAGCAATGGCGCCGTGGCAGAAGACGCAAGCTGGCTCTGACCGGTGCACGAAGACAAGCACATCAACTTGGCTGAGCTCGATGCTATGTTTCGAGGTGTCAAGTCATGCAACAATCGAGCCGACCAACTTACTAGAGTACCGCAGCGATGGTTAAATGAAATGTGCAAAATAACGGAACCCAGAGAACCTATGTGCGCTGTGGCTGAAGAGTGAAATGTTGCTCAAGTACGAGCCATTCATCAATCCAGCGGACATCCTGGTGTGAAGAGAACACTCTATTTTGTGAAGTTGATCGACCCAAGAGTAACAAAAGCTGAGGTGCGAGCGGTGGTTAGGGGATGCAAGGAATGCCAGTCAATCGACCCGGCTCCTGTGCGTTGGAAAACGGGCAGGCTTGATGTCGCGGAAAATTGGCACAGGGTTGCGATGGATGTAACCCATTTCGGACATCAACTATACCTGACGCTGATAGACTGCGGCCCCAGTCGTTTTGCCATTTGGAAGCCCTTGCACCGCCAAGACTCTGCTAGCATCATCAAGGAGCTGGAAGTATGTTTTGTGAAAGAGGGCCGCCGATTGAGCAGCTTACGGATAATGGCGCAGCGTTTTGTGGAGAGAGGTTTGCCGCGTTTGCAAAGATGTGGAATGTACAAATACGATTTCGCTGTGCCCACGTACCATCTGGGAATGGGATAGTTGAGAGATCCCATCGTACAATAAAGCGCATCGCGTCGAGAACACAGTGTTCAGCTTTGGGAGCTGTATATTAGCACAATGTTACCCCAAAGGACAATAAAACAGCTTATAGGGTCCGCATTAAGGGTATCGACACAGCTTTGGTGCGTGACGACACAGTTGCCAATCCTTATACGGTAGGAGAGACTGTCTGGGTGAAAAATCCGCACTGAAGGTGTACGACACAGTTCAACAAGGGTACGGTGACACAAATTAATAGCCCACACTCCGTCTCTATCGATGGAATACCGCGCCACATAAAATATGTGCGACCAGCGTGCGGGAAGGATTATTCCGTCAGCAACCACGTTAGTTCTTCTTCTTATGATGATGACGAAGCCCCGATGGTATATATAAAATCACAGGAAGAGCACACCTCAGAGAGTAGCGCGCCTGATGAACCTATGCGGGATGAGCTCAGCGAGACGTCTGAAGAGAGCACCACTGAGGAAGCGCTTGAGACCATACCACTGAGACGGAGCACCAGGCAGAAACGGCCTGCCCCACATTGCCATTTGTGTGATCTAGAGATCAGGGAGGAGTGTAATGAGCATGCGCGGAAACGTACTCGAACTGCGTGTGTGTACCATAATGGACTCGACCGAGGACTACAAGAAGAAGACGCGCGAATCGTTTGGCGTCTTTTCTTAGGCGACAAAAGCCGTTGGGGTTGGTCGTCCGTCGGCAGCAGTCTTGGGTGCCGTTTTGCTCGTTTGCTGTCGTAAAGTGTTCGTTCGGAAGAAGGCGTTCGTTTTTGTGTCGCAAGAAGGCGTTCGTTTTTGTGTCGCATTCGTTTCAGGTTCGCAAGAAGGCGTTCGTTTTTGTGTCGCAAGTAGACGTTCGTTTTTGTGTCGCAAGAAGTTGTTTTTTCCCCCGTTTTCTCGCACATTATTATAAGGAATTAATTATTCTTATGTTTTTTGATGTTAAATATTGTCGATGTTAGACATTGTCTTTTTTTAATGATACAAATGTTTTCCTTGAACTGGCAGTGAAAAAGTTCTTCTGCATAAAGGGTTATAAAACAGTTAAGATTGGTCTGAGAAAGTGTGAGGAAGGATATCAGTATTCTTATATTTTAATGACCCCTGTGTGTTCTTAGATCTGTTTCCAGTTTTTTGTGTTTTTTTTTCAGCTTGCGTATGTATACGTATATTCTTTCTCCATTCATACATACTGTCTTATTATAAGGAATTAGTATACACACATACATACATACACACACTTCCTATGTTGTGTAGGGTTCGCGTGTGTGCCTTTGAGCAGTCTTGTTCTTGCCAATATGTGCATATATATATATATATATATATATATATCAGTATGTGCATGTATACATGCTTTCCCTTTCATACATACATACTGTCTTATAAGGAATTAGTATGCACACATATACACACATACATATATACACACATACATACACTTTCTATGTCGTGTAGGGTTTGTGCGTGTGCCCGTGAGTAGTCTATTTTTTGCCAATACGCGTATACATATTCATGCTCCACATATACCTGAGTGTGTGCACATGGATGCGAGTGGTTTGACTACTGTATTTGGCGATTATGTGTGCATATTGTTTTTTTTTTTTTTTTTTTGGTTTGGTGTTATGATCTATTTAGTGTCTAACGTAATAAAATAAACCCTGCCTGTTGCAGCTTTGTCCTGTCTCTCCGGTGATTCTGGTCGAAAAGTAAACCACCCGGTCCTCCCCCGGTGAACTGAAGGAACCACCACTATCCGCCACGTTGTTAATTTTTGATCCGAACAGCAGTACTTCGATCCCTCAGAACAATCCGGATGAATTAAATGGCTGGGTATTACGCTGAAAGGAACTCACTATTCATGCAAAAAAAGTTTATTGTCGTAGCCGCAAAGACATGAAAAAGAAAAAATAAGCAACTCTTTCGGTTCCTGTACAAATAGCCCTTTTTTATGTCACTACCGAAGAAATTACACGAGTACAAAATGTCGTAACGAGGTTCACTCGTTTGGGGTCGGAAGTGACAGAGAGTAGGAAAATTTCTGCCTAAACAATTTCGGCTGATCTAAGGGAAGTAATTCGTGGATCTTCGTCTGCACCCTACAGCTTTGTTGCCGAAGTTATCTGGATTTGTACGGGTTCTATTACTATCTCTTGGTTCGGATCGGTCTTCTTGACGCAGGACAACCAACAAGCAAGACCAGCAAATTCCATCAAGCCGTCTCTTCCGCGTTTTGCCGGTCCCCGAAACTCAGCGGGAACCCAGTTTTCAAGAGATACTAAAATTGGATTCGGACCTCCTGCTGTGTCTTCCGCAGCCAACGCCTACTTAAGTTTTGCCAAAACCACTTATCCCGTCTGGTTGAATTCCGCCATTCAGACCACCCAAAAGTCCAATTCGCCATTTATCACAAACTTTACTGTAACGAATCCGTCTCTTAATCACTCTGGAATTATTACATTTAATTAACTAATAACTCTACCCAAGTAATTAGCACTTTCATCCTAATTCTTTAGCACTGTTGATTACTAAATCCACCTCGGGGTGGGGTGGTGGTGTCTCTCCCTCTATGTCACAAGTGCTGGTTTAAATTTGTTTATGAAGTTTTTTCTTGTATTTGTAGGTAAGAATAATTGTCTGTTTGATATATTGGCATAGTTTTAAATTCACCCTTGTTACATTTATAGATGTGTTGTAATACAAAGAGTTTTCTGTTGTTTGGTAATTTTATGTTACTTTTGTGTGCATAAATCTCATTTTTGGAATTGCAGTTTAAATTTTTATTTATTATGAATGTCGTTTGGGTTTTTCAAACATGTAGGAGTTTCCTTCAATAATGATGTCACAAACCCCACATCTTTTTTGTTGCATTTAGTGATTCCTTGTATTGTGTGATGGTTAAATTTGGATGAGGTTAATATGTGTTTCAGATTTTAGATTGACGTTTGCTTTTAATTATTTTGGTTGTTTTTAGTATATTTTTCAGTTTGTCATTCTTGTTAAGCAAGAATCTTCTGTAGCCCGTAGAAATTGCTTGTTGAACATGATCATCCGACTGAATGAGGATCAGCGTGGCCAAGTTAAACACAAAGGGGTATCTCTCAAAGCCCTTCTCGATCACCAACGGTGTAATGCAGGGTTGCATTCTGACACCGACTCTCTTCACTATCTTCTTCAGCATGATGCTCAAGTAAGCCATGAAAGATCTTGACGAGGAGGACGGCATCTACATTAGATACTGTCTCAATAGTGGCCTGTCTAATCTACGACGATTAAAAGTCCAGACAAAGACCCTGAAGCAACTTATTCGAGACCTCTTCTTTGCTGACTATGCTGCCCTTGTTACCCACATAGAATGGGCTTTGCAGCGGACAACTTCCTGCTTCGCAGAGGCTGACAAGCTTTTTGAACTTGAAGTCGATTTAAAGAAGACAGAGGAACTCTACCAGCTTTCACCTCGGGATAAATATCGCCCTCTCCACATCATCATTGGTGCAACTGAGCTAAAGGCAGTCCATCGGTTTACCTACCTTGGATGTGCCATCACATCGGATGCTGGGACCAACAAGGTGGTCGACAACAGACTAGCAAGGGCGAGATTTTGCATTTAGTAGACTGTACAAACGTGTGTGATACAACAGACACCTGAAGAAAACTACCAAGATAACGGTGTATAGATCTATCGTCCTCGCCACTCTCCTATACGGAACAGAGTCAGGGTCACTTACCGACACCACCTGCAACTGCTCGAATGGTTCCACCAGCGCTGCCTCCACATGACCCTTAACATACACTGGAGTGACTTCGTCTCCAATATTGAAGTTCTTGAAAAAGTGAAGATCACCAGAATTGAAGCCATGCTGCTGAAGTTCCAGCTGCGCTGGGCTGGGCATGTTTTCAGGATGGAGAATCATTGTCTGCCTAAAATTTTATTGTACAGCGAGCTCTCCACTGGCTATTGGGGAAGAGGGACACCAAAGAAGCGATTCAAAGATTGCCTGAAAAAATCCTTTGTTGCCTGTCACATTAACTATTGGTTAACCCTGGCTGAGAACCATGACGCCTATCGTCTCACCACCAACCATGCTGTCTCCTTCTTTGAAAATACCTGCGGGGCTGCTCTCTGGAACAAGAGGCAGAGGAAGAAGTACTGCAATGCTATGCCATCGAGCCCAAGCCAAACTTTTAGCTGCAACTATTGCTACCGAGTAAGTCTGTCTTGCATTGGACTGAGTTACAAACATGCCTGCAAGCGACATGTACAGACTTCCTCGTGATCTTAGTTTTGCGAAGCCAAGCCATGATATATATATATATATATATATATATACATGTATATGTGTGTGTGTGTGTGTGTGTGTGTATTAAGACATTTTATGTTTAACATTCTTTTATAGATACAAAAAAGATATAAAAAGAATGTTAAACATAAAAATGTCTTATAATTGTCGGACTTTGTCCATTTCATAATGTGTGACGTCATTTGTTTACATTTGATACGCCATGAGCAGACATGAATGTACGTGAGAGATTCATGGATGATTAAAGTTTAAAAGCATTAAATTCGACCTTGCTAACCGATCGATCCTCTGTGGCGAAATCGGTAAAAGCACGTCAGGCTATATGACGGTTCCGTATAGGATACAGGTTCGAATCCTGGAGGACGAATATTTTCTATGAAAATTTCTCGGACATTCAGGCCGGTAAATGTTATTTAATACTGTTTATTATAAACAGAGAATTTATTTAAATATTTGTATCTATAAAAAGAATGTTAAACATAAAAATGTCTTAAAATAATTGTCGGACTTTGTCCATTTCATAATATATATATATATATATATGAAAATTTCTCCGATTTAATCGGCAGAGAAGACAATATTAATGAATAAAAATGACAATAGGAAAACTGGTAATTGCTGACGCGTTTCGTCCAATGTGGACTTTATCAAAGCAAAATACATTAAGTCCACATTGGACGAAACGAAATATATATATGTATGATGTATATTATATATATATGATATACATATAATATATATATATTAAATATATCGCACACACACACACACACACCAGTGTTGTTTCCCTTGATGGATGCCTTCCTGGAACTATTATTTTGGGATGGCATGCAACTGTTTCATCAAATTCTCTTAGCCTTGCTCAATGTCTTGAAAAAGTGAGAAAAGCCGCAAGGGGTAAGATCTAGGGAATATGGAAGATGTTGGACCTGGGAAATGTTGTATTTGGCCGAAACCTGCTGCACAAGCCGTGGTCATTGATGAAACCCATCTGTGGTGTAGTGAGTCTACTACAATCTACACACTTTCCTTCCAAGCATCGAACAACAATGGAATCAAGCAAGGGCATTGTTGTAACCAATAGTTAAAGAAATAATAAGAGTTGCAGATATATCATATATTAAACAGTAGGTACAACAGACGAGTATAACAGACTAGTGAGTGTCTGTCGGTTTACCCAGCGTTCAATCTATTCGACTGTTCTCACAAGGCCTTCTCTCCTACTGATCTTATAGTAGGCGGAAGCGTCAAAAATAGACACTTTAGAGAACACCACAACACCCCCGCTTTTCACCCTGACTCCGTATGGAGTCTTTTTTTTTTTTTATAATTACCACACAATACATTTTATTCAACCAAAGAAACCCTTTTTCGCAAAAAAAAAAATCAGAAACAACCACTTTGAAAAAGCTATATACAGGAATTACGTTTTCATTTTTTTTTTTTTAGTTTTAAGACAAACATTTTACGTGTTAACAACAGTCCCTTTTTATTAAGGCCTCTATTCATTATTCCTAAATAATGAAAAATTGGATAAGTTTAATGGTAAATTATAAAGTTAATAATTTCCAATAATCCAATGCGTATTGTGCTTTTCTGGTAATTCAAAGTTTAT